GAGCTCTCCTCTGCGCTGTTTTCTTCTGACTGAAATGCCTGTTTCCAGCAGTTATAACTCTTGGTCATCCTTCAAGTCCAGCTGAAACATTCTGCCTTACAATACTTCCCTTGACAGGCCTCTACTCCCCTCCTGTTGTATAAGTTCATCATCCCCAAACCAACCTGTTTCCCACATTTAATGCATTTCCTTTGCTAAATACTCAAGTGGTATTTTGAAAACTTTTTCTCCCTCTCTTAACAGCAATAATACATTCCGACGGCTCTGTTACAGCAGTCAACATACATCGATTATTGTGTGGCCTTACACGTACTAACGCACTGAACCCTCACAGCAATCAAAGATTAGCCCTTTTCACAAAGAGAAAGCACTTCCCAGTCCGCCAAGCACTGAAATACGCTCTCTCGCTGCCATTTCTGGCTCCCTGAAGGCGGAAGCCACCTCTGCCTTTAAACAGCACCTGGCACACTGACCTGACTTGTCTCGCACTCTCAGAAACTCAGCTGGAATGAAGTTTTAAAAGAAAGACTATTCATTTCACTTTTTGGTATATAATTAAAGCTACTTTTATTTCTTTTCAGAAAATTCAGAAGCTGAAGCATATCCGGTATTAGTTCTCACAGAAACAGAAACAGTCTTAACTAAAGCCAGTAACAGTAGCCAGGCGTTATTTTAAAATGCAACCTTAATCGTGAACCACGATTCAGGCCCTTACCAGTAAGTCCCACTTTCTTCCTGCACATGAAACAGCGATTCTTTTTTTGTTTTGGTTTTTCAAGAGACTTGCCTTGCTCTTCAGATGGCTGCTGTGCCGTATCTGATACTGAAGCTGCCAAAAATAGAAAAGTGGTAAAATGTAGTTATTCAACTAGATTTTATTAGTTGGGTAGCTGTTGTATATACCCCAACCAGCCCCACTGATCTGTTACTCAGAGGACAACTGAGAAATTTATTTTACTAGTATGAAAAGATGCTCATATTAAGTTACAAGTAGTTTATTTAACGAGATCTCTTTCTGTTACTGTACGTACATACACACACACATGCAGGAAACTAGAAGTATATACATTGACTGACATATTCACAGTGACTCTAGAAAGTGTTCTATATTCTAATTGTTCTAATAATTACGTATTTGACTAATAAAAGGTGCACACGCACAACACACACACACAAATACTACTTGGTATCCTCAGGGAGTGTGTAAGAAAATGGCCAGATACAAACTTTTAAATATTGTTGGGGTCGGAACTATACAGATTTCTCAGAAAACAAAGAAAAAAAAATGCTGACATCAAGATTCAGTGGAATCTTAACATTCTCAGAATGTTTCACACAAAACCCTTCAAATGTTAGGAATAAGATAAATTAAATTAATTAAAACGTTATAATTAAGATAATAAAAGAATGCGTTTAAGTAGTGAAACCAAGGCCAGCTGCATCAAGAGTCAGGTCAAATCACTGCCCCCAAAATCCTAGCTAATATGATCCCCTCCGTCACTCACTACTCTGACGTCCTGAATGCTGTCACTGGAGTCAGTCTATATATAACATGACCTAGCAGACATGACATGGGCTCTCAAACAGTGACCTGCCTCGGATTGAGTTTTTTACCTCTCCAATTTTATCACGTTTCCTTTTTCTTTGGGAATCTACTACTCAACCAACTTATGCGACTATGCCAGGCCCCTCTGCCCGCGCCGCTCACAGCCAATTCAAAAGGGCCTCCCGTCTCGTTTCATTTGGGGTGTCGTCCTCTTGAAGCTTGAGCTCAAGCACCTCCTCCTCCAGGAACCCCCGCTCGCATGTTTAAATACCGACCATCTCCCCACACCCTCCAACTGAGCTCTCTGAATTTGAAATCTGATTACTTCCAACTTTCTGTATCTAAAGTCTCGTCTAGCTGCAATGCTTCCATTAGCCTCCTGTCCTAAGCGACCACACCACGACAACAGTGTGAAACTGAAAGCTTTAACATCACCCTGCTCTTATTTCCCACGTCCAGCGGATAACTAAATCTTGGGAATTTTTCTATTTGTGCCTTTAAAATATCCCTCATCTCTTCTCTTGTTTCTGTTTAACCAAAAAATAAAAATAATTCGATTATATTTATGAATTTATAAAAGTATGTTAGGTGCACTAGAATACTTATGTTGGCCAGACAGTATTGCTTTCTTGCTATAGCAAAATCTGCAAATAGACAAATTATGCCAGTCGTTTGTTGGGCTTGAAGTCAGAGCAAGGGAATTTGCTGGCTTAACTAAATTTAAGCCTTAGCGAACTTAAGCTAAGACTGCCGGATGTCTCTGTCATCACCACGTGATCATCGTGTGCAAATGGAAGGTTTCACGGGCCAGGGCATTTTCTCCCTTTAAATCATGTCGCAGGCAAAACGGCACACTGTTCATCCTTGGGCTTGTCTTCCCAGAAAAATCCGCCTTCAATTAACACATTGTTTCTACACACTGGCACAATACAACTCACCGAACACAGATTGTTCAACAAATGCCTCGCTACTATCCCTGCTCCTAGGAAAGCTTTCACACGCATTTCAAGTCTCCCTAGATCACCTGGATCCGCATGATGGGGACATAAAGAACATGGGCAAGGACAGGAGGCATCTGTGAATACGAGTAACTGAATGTGACTTGTGCCGTAAATCACAGATGGGCAAAGGGCAGTGCCTGCCAGTCATGTGACGTAGTCTCTTAGACAAACTGAGTCAAAACAGACTCCTCCCAAACCCGCAGTCCCAGTTTGCTTGGAGAGGAAACAGGATTGAGAATAAACTGGCCAAAATAGTAAAAGATAATGGTATAACTCCACCACACACTCATTTAAATTTATTTCTTGAACTAAATGAATTTTGAACTTTCTATGTTTATGCTGATGACATAATTATATCTAAGTGGGAAACGGAAATGGTTCTCAACATTTCAGTCAATGAAATGCTTGAGGATCTGAAATATTCTGCTCACAAAGAAATTAAATCTAAAAATGTGTATTTTAGGCAGGTAATTTTTTAAATATATGCACCCAGGACAGTGCCTGACTTATAACACTCAAATGACAAATAAATGACAAAATGAGCGAGTGCGTATGCAAACCTTGCAGGTCTTCTGTTTCAGGTATTGCTTTGTCCACAGATGTACTGTCCACTTGGGAAGATGCTACAGATTCTGATAAAAGTGACTGATTTGATACAGGGCTAAAAAAGCAAAAATATTTAGATTTTAAGAGACCATCTCTGTGCATGAATAACGACGAAAGTGATATAATAAGAGCTCAACATATCTAAGTACATCATTGAGACAAGAATGAACACAGATACGTTTTACAACTTAAACACGACCAAAGAGCTTTAAAACTAGAGACCGGTTTGGACCAGAAGTTGACTGCTTTGGAAAGACGGCAGTACTGCGCGTCCTGTGTGTGTGAGCTCCGTCAGTGAAAACCAGCACGGCAGACGGGCGTAAGGAAAGCTGACGCAAAGCCGTACCGGGCACATGGCGTCACGGAACATCTGTCCCGGGCTGGACGACAAACCGGGGACTAGAAACTCAGTGTCTACTCCTACCGGCGGAATCAAAACGAAAAAACTACTTCCATATTTTCAGGCTTCTAAATGATGTGACTTCAAAGTTAACAAGGAAAAATGCACTACAAGTAAATGCAGGCACCGCATCATGGTGCGAAACAAAGAACCCGTGACGAGACGATTTTTTAATGCAAGACACTAATACCTGCATAATAAGACTACAGTTAGAACTTAACGTGCTTCAAAGGGACTTCAAGGCTGGGTCGGGACATATTAGGAGGAAGAATAAAGGAAAAGCCGTTCAAAAAGGAACGCTGAGATTTAAAAGACAACCCCCCGACCCCCACCTCAATGTAAAAACGATAAAAAGCCTTTTCTAACTCGTCAGTAATAAGGAGACAAATACAATTTTAAGTCAGTTATCCTAAAGCGATTCTACAGTTTTCCGTAATAGGACTGATCAAATACGGAACCTGGGTTTTATTTTGCGCTAGCGTTCCGACCCCAGTTCCGAGACCGCGTCTCACCTCGGCTGCAGAGATGAAGATGTGGAGTCTCCCGCTGACTGAGCTGCTGGGACACCTGGGACACCGCCGTCTGTGCACTGAACAGGTAAAGACTCAGACAGACTACTGACAGAAGTCGCTGTAACAGGACCACGTTTCACATTAGTGACTCTGTACTCTGGGCAGTCCGACACCTTATCTAAAAAACGCAAGGTCAACTTTCCACAAAATACGGTATATAAAAACTTTGTTTTACTATACAATATGCTGGTTAATTACTGTTAGTAACATTTTTTCAATCCTATAGTTTTCAAATGAAAACACGTTAACCACGAAGGAAACCATATACGAAATGTATATGTTAATAAACTAAACTCTTATTTCTCAGGACTGAATATCACCAAACTCTTCAGCTCACGAACATCTTCCAAATACTAGTGCACAAATGAGATATTTAAAATAAAAGATAATTTAGTTGTACGGCAAACAGGTTCAGAATTAAAATCTGCGCTCAGCATACTAGGTTATATTATTTTCCTTGTTCTCATATGGCAGGCATTCAAACGAGGATTTAATTTTAAAATCAACGATTTAGAATGATTTGATCTTAGCCTTAAGAAAATTTGGAGAAGTTTTGATTAAATGGTTCTAGATTTTGGCTTGAACAAGAAGCAATGACAGGAAAGACGCCATAAAAAATTTTAAATGAACTTAGTGACAGCCTGCACTTTCGAGAACCAGAAACACCTAGACACTTAGGCGCTGACCCACAGAGAACCATCCTGGAGGAATACCAGTACAGCAACACTTTACTTTGGCAAGGCTGACGCTCAGAATCCTCACGACGCTTCTTACACAGCCAGCGAAGCGAAAGCCCACCTCAATTCCAGGAGAACTTTTGACACAAAAAGGCATAAAAAAATCCCTTGCTCTGAGTGCAACCGCTACACCTCTCCCTCCCGTGGGAGTGAGGCCTCCCCCACGGCCTACTGCGTTGCGTGTCCAAGCCCCACTGCTGCCGTCTCCAACTATCTTGACTTCAGAAGTCATCCAAGATCAAGGAACCGAGGTCCCCTTGGAGCCCTCCACTCCCACACCTTACTTTCCAAGAGAGTAGTATGTACTTGAAGTATGCTTCTACTTTAATAAGATAATAGAGGTCTGTAGCACAGCAGGGAAGACTATGGAATGGGTTTACAGCAGCTATTTTTAATACCCTTATTCCTGTTTCCCTTCCTTTGACAATCACAATACGTAGTGAGAAATTTTAATGATATGAATGTAACACTATAAATACAATGTGAGAGCAGAAAAAGGTATTGGGGACACTGTGCTACCCAAGCGTATCTCCATTATGAAAGCTGCGGTGTTTCAGCAGAGCTACTTACCAGGCGGGCTTATTCTACCATTACTACTATTCTGTCTTTGAAGATGCTCTTTGTAGCATACTGAACACATGCCATTCGTACGAGGGTTTCCATAGAATCCGCAGCCAGTGGAACAAAGCATAGGCACTTGGCTGTGATTAGTTTCTTGAGCCATGTTCGTCTGTTGCACACCTGAAATTTACACAGAATTAGCAAAAGACTCAGACACACGCTGCAATTGTATATCATCCAAACCCACTTCACATAACAGAGAAAACCCACAGGTACTCCCCTCCAAACCACTCTACGCAGCTGTCTCATGACCTAGGGCGAGGGTGGAGGGAGAAAAAACACAGACCAAAAGGATCCAGACAGAACTTTCACCTCCCACCCGCTCTACAATGCAGGTCTGTACCAGCCCAGAACGTATCCAGAACTCTTAGAAAAGGTATCTGTTCAGCAGACTCCACACCAAGCGGGAGGTAAGGAAAGCCCTGGAAGTCTACTTCAGTTAGGACTCCTGGTAATAAGAAATATACATGATAAGTTTTGCTATATGTTACACTACTAAGTTCTAAACATTTAAACTTTTGCTCAAAGTTCATCTTTTAACTTGTGTAATTCATTCTGTTTAAAGGGCATTTAACGTAACATCAGTGCCGGTAAAGGTAGGGAGGAATGGGCAGAATGCTGCTGAAATGAGAATGGGCTCCATCTTTTTAGACAGCAATTTAGCAATTCACCTTAAGAGCCCTGTAAAAGATTGCCCTTTGAACCAGTCATTCTCCCATAGGTGTCTTCAAGAGAATAACTAGGGTATAATCAGAAAAAAGAACAGGCACAATATGAAAGGCATCTAGAATATGTTGCTAATTAAGACAAAAAGAGCATCTATAAATCACCACAAAGGGCAGGAAAGAAGCTATCGACGATGGTGAGGCTGATGGTGATTCTTTTTCTGATCTGTCTGTACCTTTTCTGCACTTCGAAAATCCTCTTAAGTGAAGAAACTACTTGCCTAATTGGGAACAAAACTCTTTTCAAAAAGTATTTAAAATATAAAAACTATCAGGACAGAGGCACTTTTGGGAACCCCAGGAAGGCACTAATCAGAGCAGATGGCAGAATCCCACGTGCCGCTGCCCGCATGAAGCGAGGGCCTCTCTGGCACGAATAACATGACAGAAGGTAATAACAGGCTCTTATTAAAAAACCTCCCGAATGGAATGAGGGTGTATGTGCATTTAGGATCCGTCTACGTTCAAGGATCTTGAAGGACAAGGCCAACGGAGGAGGGCAACGTTTTGCCACTGAACTTTCCCTGAGTCGATGAACGAAGGAAAGCATTCGTGATGCCGTTTACACATTTTCCTATACCCGAACTATCGGGAAAGACTGTTGTGGAGGGGACCTAACGCAGGTTTCAGAACCAAATGCAATAGTGCACTCGACTGGCTTACAAAACGAAGCGAGCAGCAAGTTTATCATTCGCCTTTAAAAAGAAACATCTTAAAACTGTAGAGAATGTTTAGACCTTTAGCATAGGAATACAATTCGAGATTTTGGCAACTTCCTTACTCCATGATGGCAAGTCATCTCAGAGTCCAGTCTTTGCTGCTCTGCCGTATGTATGCTACTTTAGATCCTCTCCTCCTGCAGTTCTATAAATACGCACATAAAAAAAGTACCGACGATGAGAGAAAAGCTAATGACAAGCATTCGGCTCATTTTTTGGACCTATGTTCCTGAGAGATGGTACGTTTGTCTGGTTTTGGTGTCAAGTTAATTGCTCACGGCTGTGCACGCAGCTTATCACTGATGGCGCTGGGAGTCATATCAACACAGGCAGGCAGTCTGGCTCCAAAGTCCATGCTCTGAACCAGCGGTTCTCCAAGTGTGGGCCGCGGGGAGGCCAGAGCTGTCTTCGTGCCCTTTTCACCGTGTTGACATGTGGAAAAGCAATGGTAAGTACAACACCTGGAGCCTCATCGAGGAGCCGAATCCAGACAGTTTCGCCCAAGTATAATACCAGTGGGGTTCTTTACCCCCACGCTCTCAGTAAAGGGGACCGTATTGAATCTTGCCTCTGAACACAGTCTCGTAAGTATTTCTGTGTGACAGACTGGGAAGTATGCATAAAGCATTTCTACTGTGTACAGAAGTGTGACTGAAAAAAGCGCTCAGGCAGCTGTTTGAGTTATAAAAATGTCCTGAAACTTAAAACTTCTGAGAATCCACTGCTGTAAACCGTGCATTCTCAAAGCAGGCAGTATCACCTCAAGGGAGTAGCGATTCTTTGGGGAAAGGGAGTGCCAAAAAACCTTACTCGTTATTTATAAAACACAGATGTACATATAATACACGAATATATATACAGTATATCTGTGACATTTAATTTTTACAGGGGTGGGAGTCCAATTAGGAAAAAACTGTTTAAAAAGGCTCCTTAGGGAGGCAACAGGAAAAAAAGATTGGAAAACACTTCCAAACCACCGATTCTATCCCGTTTCTTAACGACACGAAAATGATAGAAGGATTTAAGGAAGCTTCCGCGCTGGTGCTGATAAACCTTTTAGCACATGGCTGGTAGTCACACGCACCCACGGAAGACAAATACGTCTACAGAAACTCAAGTAAATAGTCACAGATTAAAAGCACGACATGACCACCATGTTGCTACATATCATTACACCTGCTTTTGAACAGTAAGATTAAAACTCAAAAACATGTAACGTTGGCAATTTCCCAAAGCCAAACTGCCCGGCACAGCAGCAGATTATCGATGGTTTTTAAAGCGAGGGGCTTTCTCATAAAAATCTATTATCCTGGCAGATAAAAACCACGAAGGATTCCACAGGGTACTTGGGGGCGGGGGGGAAGAATACATCTTATTCATTTATCTTTAGGCCACAAAATGTACCTTTCCATGAGGATTCAGAAAAAGACCCAGAATGAAAAAGGGGACCTTGGTTTACGTGGACGCGCAGAGGCGTAGCCGGGGCAGCTGAGGAGTAACGGGAAGTGGCGCCTCCCTTCCACTGAACCTGTGCAGTACGTAAAACAATGTGCGCGCCCATCAGTCTGGCTTTCAGAAAGGGAAGGTGGAGGGAAGAGAACAAAAAGGCAGAATAATTCTTTAATTGCTGTACTGTGGGAATAGAAAGCTACAAATCCAAGGAGGTAAAGAAGGCAGTTACCAGACAGAAATAGAAAAACTGATTCGCATGGTATAATTTTCTTTTAAAGTCTATGCATTACAGAGAAATCAGAAAATGTGATTTCTGACTCTTAATAACATTCATAATCAAAACCACAATCCTCTTTACCCGCTGGGATAGCAAATACATAAGCGTTATTCAGAGCTTACTAAGGGCCAGGAACTGTTTTCATTGTTTTACTTATATTATCTCATTTAATGCTCTCCGGAGCCCTCGGCTACTGGTGCTACTGATAGCCCCATTTTTAAAATGAGGAAACTGATATTCAGAGACTTAATAAGTTGCCCAAGGTCACGTACCTAGTGATAAGCAGCTAGGTCTTTTCCTTTATCTAAAAAGCAAACCTAATGACTCTTAAAGTCCATCCTATCCCTACCAAACCTAGAACTCTGTGAGTATTCATGAATTCTTACCCTTTTCATGTAAAGATAATTTAAAATTTCACCCATTATTCAACCTTAAGCTATTATGCTGCTTTAATTGGCTTAACCAAGCTCTTGAAAAAGTTGGTTTTCCTTTAAGTCGTTTTACCCGAGAAATTCTCAATAGCATAAAAAATTCCAGATCGAATATTTTAAGGCTGCAAATAAATTTCATTACCAATTATTAAAATTCTGACAAAAGAACCGCGATGAACGAATGAAACGCAGACTCCGTGATAACTGCAAATACACGTCAAGCGATCGCCCTCCGCTTCGTTCCCGGTCAGGCCAGCGAGTTCCAGTAGCGCTCACTTCCCTCCTTTCCCACTCCAGTTCCGCGTCTCCTCGCTTCACGCCTGCGTTATTTTAGCAGCTTTTTCTTTGTTTCACGGTCCCTCTTCCCAATCCACTGATGTATGTTCTCCTAAAACACCCGGTTCTCATCACATCGCTTCCGTTTTAGCTGCTATGCAATTGCCCCAGAAAGGAGCACCTGCCCCGGCATAATGCGCCCCACCCAACCCGATTTCCCCAGAAAGCATGTGTGCGAAAAGAGAATGGGCTTCGGGCCAGATGGGCATCGGTTTGAATTTCTGCTTTGCTCTTTTTTTGTTTTTTATCACGTGTAAGAGCTTGGACGCAGCACTAAGCTGCTCTGAGCCTCACCTCCCGAAGAGGTGCTCGCACCGTCATCTAACCAGACGAGACGAGCTGCTGCACGCAGACAGCATCTCAGTAGTGCCTGGCGCACAGCGGAAACTCGGTAAGCACCCTCACTCTGTACTCCCTGGAAGCAGAGTCCTCTGCTCCCGTCCGTCTGAAACCGATCGTGCTCGCTGCTGGGAACGAGCTTCTAAGGAGCTCACGGGGCTCCCTCCCTAGTAAATTCTGTCCCGTCTGCCCTCGACCTACAATGATCTCACATATTTCAGAACCAGCTTCAATGCTATTCCTCCCGAGAGCACTTCTGCCCACCTCCATCCTTCTCTGCTCTGAGAGCCTAAGGAAGCTGTCTGTACCACCCTTTGGGGGACAGAAGTAATTTCTTAGGAAAACTGTGAGCTTCTTCTTTAAATCCCCTTTATGCCTAATATGAATCCCCCGTAATATTTCCTTGAATAAACAGATTTCATGATTGTTACAAGTATCCATGTCAGGCATAAAGAATGGTTATTTTCCACTGAGAAGGGGAGAAAACAGACTGATAAAAAATGTTTCACATCGTGGCAAGAATGACCAGCCAGTTAGAAAACACACACAGTTCGTTTCATCGGTTTTCTCCCTTTTCTCCC